AAAATGACTATTTTGAGACAAAAAAAAAAAAACTAAATTTAGTTTTTGTGGTCACATCAGTGCAGTTTTGAGTTTAATGGTGTGATTGGTCAGCAAAAACAAAGCACTGATTATTTGATACATTCCTATTTTTAAAACGTGCACAAAATGCATTATTAACTGCATCATTATATAAATGTACATTTCTGTTTTCATTACACTAAATATAACAAAACATACCAGGCTGATCGTGCTGCATCTTGAATATAAAATCAGAAGCATTCAAATAACAGATGTAATGTGCATCCGCCCTCTCCCTGCAAAACGTGTCTGAATTCATCTGTTCATGAAATATGAATGATATTGAAAGGAATGCCCTTTTCCAACAGTCAGATAAAGGTTTACTGAAGGCCACAGTTAGCAGAATAGAGGTTGCCATGACTACAAGTGTGAAAAGGGCATCTGATCCAACTTCTGACCAGTCAATTAATCTTGGCATTTTTTTATCAGAGGTTCAGTCATAATTCTAAATTAATTGCTGCACATGAAAAGAAAAAAGAAATAAAGACTGAGATTGTGGGGAACTTGAAACACTTTGCAAAAGTACAGTGGTGCTAGCTTCTTAAGATTAAGACTGCCATCAGGGAAAGCTGGGTGAATATTTAAGATGGATTAAAGTCTGAACAGTTAGTTTGTTTGGTGGAAGTATGAAGGGGATGGAGAAAAACTATTATTCAAGAAAACAACGTATAAAGACCTAATTTTCCTCCTGACTTTAGGAGTGAATAATTACCAAGTTATTTCCCATTTTTTCTCAAATGTTTTACAATAAATTATAAGGACTCAAAAATCCATTAGATGGAACACTACATATTGGTATACTGTATATTTTCCATATTGTTTTGCTCTCTGCCAATATCGATGTTGATGATGTTGATGATGATGATAACAGAGTGGAAAATCAACAGTAGAAAACTAGGCAAACATGGTCTCATATATAAAGTACTTACATACTGTAAAAGTATCCTGTGATGTGAAAGGGACGTTCTTATCTGAAATCCCATGATCTTGTATGGTAGATTATGACAAATTTTCCACAAGCTAATGGTTAAATATCAACTTAGGTCATGGAAAGAGGCCAGTAGAGAAAACACACTAGAGATCTCCCATCGCCTATACCCATACTGGTACGTAATTCAGAGAGAAGAGAATTCTCATTGAAATAGAAGAAGAAAAAAAAACAAGGCCTTGGTTCTATTTAAATCTTTCATTGCAAGCTAAGTCTTGAGTATGAAGAGCCGCACAGCAAACATAAAGGACCTCACAGAGCCATCCGTTCCTCCTCATCCAACCTTACCATTTTCAATCAAATACGCTGAGTAGATTTCAAGATATCCATCTACTAGAGCACGTTTTTTTAACATCTCTCCCAAAAGTACATATTTGATTTGATACACCGTGCCAAGTTCAAAGGACTCCTTTACACAAACATCATATAAATGTAGGTGTGGGTGGGTGACAATTACATTTACTGCCAACATCATCAAATGTTTGTGTACAGTACACACATCTGTGTGCACTCACAGCACTGTTGGTGAGTTTGCGTGTGTGAGAGCAATTGACAAAGCCTGACATTTCCCTTATTTAAGCTATTCACAAGCTGAGAGATGATGTGTGTGTGTGTGGGGGGGGGGGGGGGGGAGGGGAGGGGAGGTTCTATTAAATAACAGAGAAAAGCCAATTTCATCGCCTTTTACTGCACTGCTACGGGAGCACATCTCAAGCTGCCTCTCCTCACTGTATAAACACTGTCCTTGTAGTATCAATCCTCCTCTTCCTTCCTTCACCCCCTCCTTCTCCTTCTCCTCCAGCTCCTCTGTCCCACTCATGCCTCCTGCTCTTAAAACAAGGCAGGAGACGGTTTGATTATCACACTCCGATCGCAGCTAATTAGGCTGGGTCAGCTGGTACCGTCAAGCAGTATCCCTGTCAAACAGCGTCCCCCTCCACGCTCTTCCTCCTCCTGCTCCATCATCCCTCTCCCTCTCTCTCTCTCTCCTCGTTCCCTCGGACAGCCCTATCAGTGGGTAACATCTCCCTACACCACTGCCGCCTGTCTGTTCGTGATAGCGACTGTGGCAGTCGTCTCCACAGAGGCAAGCGATGTGCTGCCAGCCACTCTGCCGGAGCCAGACTAGCCCATATCAGCGTCTGCTGCAGACGCGCCGGAGCATCAATTAATCGCTGTTTAAAACTGGCAAAAAAATGGATTCGATACACTTAAGCTTAATTAATACATTGCTACCAGTTTTGCGGGGCTAATTAATCAATTTGATACTCGTCCCTTGTGTGAAGATGTCCAGATTATGTTGTCTGGAAGGACTAATATCAGAGAAGAAGATGAATTACATGCATGCATGGAGTTTTGTGTTATTTTTCTAACAATGCCTATTACCAGAAAAGAGAACGCAAATTGAAATTCAGGGGAAATAAGTTTTTAATAGGAAAGGAATAAGGACAAAAAGGGTCGTAAAATCACACAGAAATAGGAGATTGTGTCTACACAGTCGACTACAAACTAGCAACTATAGAGTCCAAGAACTGTAATGGGGTTGGGGATTGATAGGGACTTGAACTACACGTTTTGGATTCTTGTATTTCTGTTTATACCGAGTCTGTGAATGAGGCCAAAGTGTCCTGGCAGGCGAGCAGAGAGAGCTACAGATAGTAATTGGAAGGGTAATGCTTGGAGGGAAACAGAGGACTTAGATGGGATGAAGAAGGAGGAGGGGGGGGCGGGGCGGGGGGTGAAGAGAGAGACCTATGAAGTAGATGCTAAGTGCTGAGATGTGAAGAAAATAAGCCTGCAGGAAGACGACCCCGGGGACAGTGACCAATGACAAGCTTCCTTTTGCTTTTTTCTCCCTCCATCAGATAAAAGACATCCCGTACCTGTGTGATGTGTGTGCACACGGGAGATTTTTTTTTTTTTCCACCATGTTTCCTTGTGTTTGTCTATTCATGTGTGTTTTTTTTTTTTTTTTTTTTTTTTCATTTTACTTCTTATTGAGCCTCTTTAAAAATCCATCACATTACTTGAATGAATTACCTGTACATGAGTGGGTCTGCTTTAGATAAAGAAGCATATGGGACTACTCCTGAGCTTAATAGGCAGGGGAACCATCTTGAGATTTATCAGCAGGCAGATATGTAATGTACAGTTAAAGCAGACCTTTCTCTGAGCAGGACGTGAATTAATTTGAGAGACAAAATATTCCACTGTGAAATTGTTATCTTGTGTAAATATTAAGTCAGAGTGAGGCATTATTTGCTGCTTTTGAGCATCAAATTGGTAGCCTTGAAACTTAATAAAGACACACTGGAACAGAGCCAGAATGATGTTCGCCGCCCCTCACTCCTCATCACCGCTTAAGCAACGATGCCTTGGCCTCCTGCCCCTGCCCTCCCCCACAAGCTTAGCTGAGCCCACATGTTATTGGCTAAACACAGCCAGCTGCAGCCTGTTAACTGTCTAATCTCACATCAATCGATTTCCCCAAACAAGGAGAGGTGGAGAAGTGGAACGCAAGTCGTGGAGCGGGGGTGAAAACACGGCAGCGGGGTTAAAGTAAATGGGAGGGCAGCGATGAGTGAGAAACAGACGAAGACAGGTTACAGCCTTCTGCTGAGTTTCCAGCAATAACGGGCTTGTGTGTTTGTGTGCAAGTGTTTCTATTTGTGGACTGCTGCGACAATCTCTTGTTCAAGTCTGTCAAAAGGAGACTGAGGAACAAAACCCACATAAAAGGTGCAATGACAGGCTAAAGTTGGCAGAATCGGTCCGTAACAGTAAACATCCACCATGATTAATGTATAGGGACCGTTTTTAATGATTGACTTTGGCCGAACACACACTTTGTCATGTGCTTTGCGCGAATAAATGTGATTCTTTCAGTCCCCCACGGACAATTAAATGGGAACATTTTCAAAATGGGAAACATATGGAGCTTTTTAATTGGCCAATTTCTCTTGCCAACATGTGTGGCTTTTTTTCATTCTGAAAACCAATGAAAAGGAGCAAAAAAAAATGCTATCTAGTCAGACTTGCATATTGCAGCACAGAGTGTTGCACAAATTGTCATTGTCCTTCCGCACGGAGTAAAACAGGCCTTCTGTTCCTGGATTAATAGCACCATTACACAGGATCCATGTTCAGTATAGAGCTCCGTGCTGCTGGATCCAGTCACTGAGATATATTCCTCTTGGAGAGAGACTTTAGTGAATTTGTATTTCTGTGGGAATATCTGTTTTGCCGAGCAGGTAATGGCCCACACCGAGTTACATGACTGGTTGAAGCTGCAGTGAGAAATCTACCATACCCTCCTGCCCCATTTCTTCTCTCTATACCATTATACTCTGTATAATCTTGTCTTTCTTGGCTCCCCTCATCCTGCACTAATCATGCGAGGTGGCTGGGGTGAGGAGGACTGCAACAACTTATATCTGGGGAGTTATTGTTCTACACATGTCATGTGTAATCTGCCCGACCCACAGCGCTTAGAATAATTATTCATATTTAATCACCGCACTACGAAGCTACATCGCCTGCCGCTCACTAAGTCATTTTCCATGTTCCATTATCAAAGTTTCAGAGACGGCTGCTCAGGGAAGGGGGACTAAATGGAAAGGCTGAAGTAGTTGGGCTTATAAAAACATAATGGGCTTGTCTGCTTTGATAAACTGAGGACGTGTATGGAATGCACACTCGCTCACACCCTGAAACACAGCACACACAGACATATATACACACACACAACAAATGAGAAAAGTGCGCAGAACAAAGTAAAGGAGAATAAAGTAGTCAAGTTGAAGTTCAGATTGTGAGCGTTCAGGCAAGTCAGGAGCTCAATCGTTAATACAAATAACTTCAGCGCAGGGAGCAGATTGATAGTCTTTTGGTTCCAGTGAGTCTGGCAATCTTTCATTTCTCATGCAGTCACATTTAACAACGAGGGGCTCACCTTGCTCCAGAGGCGGGGGTTTCACACCCGTAGCCTTTAACTTGAGGGCTTCTTTTGCGGACATGTCGCAGCAGGAGCCTTTGTTGGTGTCTTGGTCGCTGTCAGCCTGGTCGCTGTCCCCATGGCCGCTGTCTCTGAGGCTGGCTCGCTCTGGGTCTTTGAATGTTGAACTACTAGACAAGTAAACAAAAAAAAAAAGGGAAAATAGTTTAAATACACAATCTATGGCTTTTTTATTTCTACCCAAAGAAGAAGTCTATAGATACAATGAAACATTAATGAGCGGCCCTTGAAAAAAAATATCATGAAAGATTTCATAAAATGCATCTTATAAAACTGCACCGACTATACAGTCAAAATGAAACATATTTGAAGAAAAGGTCTTTGTTCATGATCACATTTTATGTTTTATGGAAAATACATTAAGAATCCACTTTATAGACCTAGTTAAATGTACATGTCTTTAACGCCCTGTACAATTAATTCTCAGTTTATTCACAGTTTACTTGTATTAAAGCAGTGTGTTGGGACTATTGGAGAAAAGAAAACAAAGGTCTGAGATGCAGTGACGGTTATAGATCCTGACTCTTACCTTTGAACAAACTGTTGTCTGCTACCCATATAATTAGGCTCAGTGGGGAAATTGTCTGTCTGTGGAGCAGAGAAAGAGAAAAAAAAGCATGTAGTGGGCTCTGCAGAAATAAATCCTGCTGTGATACAAGATCTCCCAGTGACATATGATTAATTAGGCGGAAAGAAAATGTGGTAGAGGACAGAGAAAGGGGCAAATAAAGGACTGGGGGATGTGAGCTCTATAGCGTTTAGGTTTGAGCATTTCATTAACCACATCAAGCAGGCTAATTAGCCATTTGAGAGTAAACCACAGAGCCGAGCATCAAATCTGCCAGGCATAATGCGATCAATAACTGCTAGGACAATAGTCCTGATGAGCATAGAAAAACTTTGCACTTACTCTGTTGAAGTGTTAGCTAAACACTCGCAACTAAATAACAGTACATTTTGTCGAGGAAATTAAAAAGCGATTTGCTCATGCTTGTCACAACATTTCTGTGAAAAGCTGTAGACTTTCTTAGCTTCAACACTTTTTGTATTCCAGAAATAATTTGTGAGGAATTGAGGCTTGTATGTGTCGAACCATCTGGTGTTTATTGGATATGGAAGCTACCTGATCGTGCACGGGGGGGGGGGCTTCATGCTATATGGATCGATAGGAATAAAAACACCCCAACGCACTAAGGTGTAACCTACAGCCACACAAACAGGATGGTGAGTATGGGAAAATACAGCGGTATAATGGAATACTCCTACAAACCCTATATGCCACAAACACTCTTCAATCCTCGGCGCTGCATGCAGCAGTGCATTACAGACTGGATCAATCACGTTGGCACTGGAAACTCTCTCTCCCAGTCTGCCTCTCTCTAGTTAATTATAATAAAAAGTACAGTATATTACGATTTTTAATTATGTCAGTTGAGATAAAAGGTCAAATAGATCCCCGTCTCTTTGTGGCATTTAAAGGCATAGACATCAACATTACTAAAAATAGAAAGGAATATAAAAACAATCAGGCATACATACTTCACTGTCGGAACACAGAAACTAATGTGTTTATATTTGCTTTAAATTATTAAAGGAGTATCTCAAAGTCCCTGTTGTGCAGAGGTAGGAAGGGTGGAAACAAATGCCTCAAAGAGAAATAGCTTTCATACCGTTGTAGCTGTATTCATCATAGCAACACAAATAATTACCCCTATGTAGTGCACAACTCCTCGGCCCCTGAATTGATAGCAGTAAAATGTCATGTTTAGTGAGTAATGTCTCCTTGTGCCGGGCTTTTTCACATGCACAGCTTGACTCTCAGTCGATAGAGTATTTCAATGTCATCCGTGCTCTGCGGTGGCTCAGTATGAGGCAGCGTGTGTGAAGGTCAGACAGGCCACCTCAGTACTTTGACCTTCCAAGCTTCTGCCAACACCTTTATCCATACCTAAACACCTGATTTCACTTCAGCCTTCACCAAGATTAAAAGGAAAACACCCACAAAACCTACCAAAAAAAGGAATCGGACCACGGCATAAAAGTAAGAATGAATGTTTGAGATAGTTTGGCATTGAAATGATAACAACCGGAGATTTTCAATACACAAAGAGGAGATGGAAGCCTCTATACTGATGTGCCCCCTTCTGCAAATTTATGGCCAAGGACTCATCCTTGAATATACTGGATGAAAGGACATGAACAAAAAAACAGAAAGTTTCACCTTTCATCATAAAGGGTTTAATGCTCTGTGCACCTGTGTAATAGAACAAACATCCAATGGTATCTTTGTGCATAAACTTATACATCATTTTCAAATGACTAAAGTGATAAAAAACAAAATCACTTTTCATTAAATTACTTGTAATGGTCAGTGTGTTTTTTTACTTTAAAGGACTTTTCGTTAAAACATTGATTGATAAAAAAAAAACTACATATAAAATCAGGTGTAATTTTTTCCGACCCAAATAAGAACATGCATGTTGCACATAAAGTAGCATGTGTGCTACATCCTCCACCATCTACCCCCACCTACAAGCCAATAAAAAGCACATTACGCCACTTCATAGAAACCTCTTTCCTGCCAATTAGAGTCCAGGCTGATCTTAAGCTTCCATCTCTTCCTGTCTGTCCATACTGCCCGGCCCTTGCACTACAATGGGCCACTATCCAATTAATGGATCGATAATGGCCAGCATGGGCTGCTTTGTACTTAGACAGTCAGAGCCCACAATGAATACAAGATAATTTCAGGGGTGGGTGATAAATTCTAGCTGGATGTCCGGTGTCTTTATTAGCGTTTTTAGTCAATGTATCATACAGTACATAAATACATGCAGCATTGCCGGTATCATTGAATATTCATGTTGCATGCCCGTGTGAACGGGAACAGAGGAAATTGCTATTTTATAATTTTGATCCCAAAACTATCTCCTGTATCGAAACTGTGAAAATAACTCTATGAGTCATGACTGTCTACAATGGGTGTAACACCCGAGTCCCACTGTCTGTGATGCTTTCCAAGTTTTACGAGTCCTATCTTCTGTTTGTTTATATCGCCGGGACGGCCGGCTGACTCCTCCCCTCGTGTATAAAAGTTTTTTAATTGAGGGACTAGAGAAAAGAAGAATAACATACTGTACTCACTGCTTAACTGCATTTCTAGATCACGCTCTATTCGGGTAAATGTACATGCAGTGTGAAGATACGAGCATAATAAAGGTCACTAGCATTAGCATGCTAACACAACAATGCACCGCAAGTTGTTTTGGTTTCATGCTGGTGCTCAAAGGCGACATCTACTGGATCAAAAAAAATTGCATATAAAGCCTTTAAAAGAACACATAACTTGCCTGATATGTAAGCATGAACTCAGCATGTGTACATTATGAAGACATAACACAGCTTCATTTCATTGAATGCAAATATTGCTGTGACATGTACTGAAAATGTGAATTTTCTGATATCTTTAAATTGCTCTCTATAAAACTAGAAATTGATAGTTTTGTCTGCGTTAGACAATGTAGGCTAATGCAGACTTTCATTTGAGTTCTTTCATTTGAGTTCTTTCTCTTTATTGTCTCCAACAATAAATCCATCTCTGGTCTTGTCTGTGTTATTTAATGTGTTGAGAGCTTCAGACAACTTCAATCGCACCTGCACAATTTGCATTGTAATTTCTCTTTATAATACTTGAGCTGCACTCAAGTGAACCAAACCGACTGACTTCAGCATCTTTCTCTGACTCGCTTATTGACCAAAATCACCAGTCTTTGACCTTTGAGGTTCAGAGAATAACTGAACCCATTAAAAGCTAAATGAACTGCACTGTTGTGGGTCAATTAACTTGCAGGTATATCTGAGGTCAGTTTGAAAGAAGCTTGTCTGACGATGGCAGATCCATGTAGTTCGGATAGTGCTGGGAATGTAGTGTTGTATCCAGTCCAATGCAGCAAGGCCACAAAGGTCAGAGAGACACTGAGTACGGTGAGGCTGAGTAAGTGTAAAAAGCTGCACTATGTTCTGTATTCCCATTGAGACCCTAAGACTGAGCGAGCCGACAGCAGGCCGATTGAGACAAATGGGACGAGAATATTGGAGAGCGTTTCTATTCTCAAGCCTTGTTGGTGCATTTTGGGACACTGTTCATTTCTACTGGGCTGTGTTTGTGTGTACGTGTGTGTGTTTTGATATCTAAGGTAGGGGTGGTGAAAGAGGACAAATTGCAGCTTCTCTTTCACACATCATTGGACACCTCTCTTTTATTCACAGGAACGAGAGTGCACACCCCCACCCCTTCCTACCCTGCTAGGTATGATACATATATTTGTCCTTTACTGTCTTCCAAAAACACACATGGTACTCTGTCTGTGTGTGTGTGTGTGTGAGTGCTTGTGTTTCTTCATGCTGATCTGGATGGCTGTTTTTAATTTGATAAACTATGATTCTATTGTGTACATGGATGTGTTTGTGTGCGATTGTCTGTATGTATGAGTGTGTGTGTGTGTGTGTGTGTGTGTGTGTGTGTGTGTGTGTGTGTGTGTGTGTGTGTGTGTGTGTGTGTGTGTGTGTGTGTGTGTGTGTGAGACGTTACCAACAAGGGAACTCTAGCTTATTCCTCTTGGAAAACTGTCAATGTAGCTCAGCAGCAGCCAAATGGGAAGAATGGGGAAAAGGATAAAACAGATTGAAATGGAGCTCAGAGGACAGAAAACACAGTGGTGGAGGGGGATGCAGCAAAAAAAAAAAACAGGAAATAAAAGATAAAAAACAGAGGAAGAGGAGAACAAAACAGCAAAGTGAGAGGCCGATAAAGGAAGTAAGGAAAAAGGGGCGGAGAAAGCAGACAATAATTAGACTACATTGATTACCCAGTGGCCGAGGAGCAATTGTAAGTGATCAAATCTAATTAGCAGCTCCTATACATCTTCCTGCAGATAACAGACCAATCAATCATGGGGCTTAAGTGAACTTAAAGCCGTCACAGTCGACTGCCTGCTAAATATCCACTATCTTCCAAATAACTTACTAAAGGTCTGCTTCAAATGACTTTCAGACAAGTTAGGAAGTGTACCCTATGTCATTCAGGGGACACTGGATATAGGTTTCAACACAATGAGATTTATTTGTTCAGGATGGACACCTCGCTGATGTCTTGGATATAATCATGAATGATAATCTCTAAAAAGATCTTTTCATGTAGTTAAAGAAAAGATGTCTTCTTTCATCGTCCACCAATCATAACTATTTTAATTCAGTTAGACTTGACTGAAGCTGTGGCATTTATATTTGTTTTTTTGTGTGATCGTTTGTGTTTATAACACAATTTGTATACCATTTACAAAGACAAAAGCCTTCAAAAATAGAAATGTCACAACAATAACGTTGCAAAACCAAAATGCAGCCTGTTCCAACACTTTTACCAAGAAACAAATGATGAACAAATTCAGCACAAATTGTTGGAAATACTAACCATTAACAAACACAAGCTTGTTAGATGTTATTAAAATGAATCACTCGCCTTGATCGAGAAAGAGTTCCCCTTACAGGATCACAGGATCTGATATAACAACTGTTAGATGATTACCTAT